AGCTTGTATTGAATTTAATAAAAAAGATTATCGACAAACACTAAATTCATATAAACGTGCTTTAAAATATGCATCAGAAAATTCTGCTGATATTCATGTTCGATTAGCCAATGCATTTGTTCGATTAAATAAACTTGAAAACACTGAGTAAGAAAATTAAAACTGAAAAAAAAACCAATATTTTCATTTGATTTTTCTTTTGTAAAGATTAACATTTAATCGTACCATTGAAATTGATCCATAAATGTATTGGAGCATTAGTTAGTTTAGCGATGTTGGAATTAAATATGAAAACATCCGAATCAATTCGTAATGATATGTGATGAAACTTTCTTGAGCTTATCAATATGATCTACAAAATCCAATAGTTTTAAATCATTTAGCAAATCATTTTTTTCTTTAAAAAAGTTTGTCGTTGTTTGAAATTGAAATTTGTTGATTTGCTTTTTTTTTGTAAGAATTATACACATGTTCGTCAATTAGCAATGCATGCGTTGAATAATACAGAAAACGAAGCCATGCAAGCAGAAAGTTGTTATCATTTAGCTCAAGATTATCACGCTGAATGAAATTATGAAGAAGCATTTCGTTATTATTATCAAACAACATATTTAGCATTGGAAAAATTTGTTTTACCATTATTTGATCTTGAATAAATTTATTTACAACTAGAACGAGACAGCAAATGTTTGTTTGGAAAATTTTATTTAGACAAGTGATTGTTTTGAAAAGATTTTAAAAAATTCATTCAAATGATCATGAATTAATGAATATCTTAGCAAATATTTATGCGGAATCGAATGATCCTGATGAAAGAGATAAAGGAAAAGATTCTTTGAAAAAAGTTAAACAACATAATGCACGTGATATTGATTCATGGATTCAATTAGCAGAAATTCTTGAAGGCGTCGATTCACAAGATATGAAGACGGTTTATTTATGTGTGGGAAATGTTTCATTGAATTATACGAAATTTAACTTCCTAGAATATTCTTCTAAAAATAATTTGAGAATTGACTCTGTTAGATTCATTGGATGCTTATATGACTACATCAAAATTAATTCATCAATTTCATGGAAAAGATATTCCAATAGAAATGTTTAATAATATGGATTCATTATATTATCGTTTAAATAACTATGAAGAAAGTCGTAAATGTTTTGAAAAGGACATCTCATATCGTATATGCAGAACAAGCTCATCAAGTTGAGCCAGCTTATGCTAATTCAATTCTTATTACAATGCATTATAATTCAGCTCGTGTATGCGAAGCATCATTTGAATTTAATAAAACTGAAACATTATATAAAGAAAATTTACGTGAACATTTCAAATATGTTGATTGTGTAATTCATTTGGGTTCTATGGTACATGATCGTGGTCAAATTTATAGTGCATCTGATTGGTTTAACGATGCACTGGAAATTAATCATAATTCACCGACATGTGATAAAGAAAG